TAGTGCGGTCGATGGTTTGGATGCACAAACCTATTATCTGTTACTGAAGGTTGTGGGAGTTGCCCCACGGGAAGGTTGTATAAGTGTGGCATGTAGTCACTTGATTGATTGAAGTTAAACTAAGTATGAAGATTGTGGTGATGTCGTTAAATTGAGAATTGATGCCTGGAGGGCGCTCAGTTTATTGGTTGTGGATTGTGGAGGATTACTCTGGTTATGATGGTTGTTCTTGTATGTTATGAGAAAAGGAGAGTTATTATGGACCTTTGAAAGGTTTTAGCTTAGTTTAGTGCAATCAGAATCAGCTTGAGGTATGTGGATGGATTTAAATGTGAATATGGGCTCTATATCAGGCCAGATGTGTTCATTTCAGCAATGCGCTCCTTATGGAAGAGTAGTCGGTGTGTTATTTCATCGTTAGCTATTTTATGTAATGATATATTACACCGTGTGAGTTGTAACACGGCTTGGTGAATTTCTTATGTGTTGAGGTTCTGTGTAGAGATGATGTTATATGAGCAGAATGGATTTTGAGATTTAGATCGTATATTGCACCTCAGTTGTGCTTGAGTTTGTAGCTTATAGCGTTATATGTCTCCCCAGGGATGGTATTATACACTTAGCGTGGTTGTGACTGACATTCGGTATTTTGTTGTAATGAGCAATCTGGCTCGGTGTGTATCTCCTGATGTGAATTTTATGGGTGGATCGGGTGGCACGCTACCATGGGTATGTTGTTTGGATCGGGTTGCGTGCCGCAACAATGTGATATTGAGTACAGATTCCTATATATGTTTTTATGTGTTTTATTTCCTATCTTTCTGAGGAAAACTCATATTAGTTGTGTGCCCGTGTCACATGTATGATTCGCGAGCGGGGTAATTGGATTTCCTTTTCAGATTTCGTTTTCCTTTTGTATCGCATTCGATTTTGTAGCCCATTAGTGCATTGTGGCATCATATGAGACTTTTGGTCACGTCTGGGTAGCTTATTGCCTGAGCAGTTCGTACTGGGTGAGACGAGATCATTGGATTTAGGATCAGTACAATCTGATTATATGAAGTATATTAAGGAGTTAAGACCATTATTTGGTTCAGAATGAGGAGATGGTTCTTGTCAGGAGTATAGACCCAATGATTTGTTGATTCAGCAGTTGGTTATGAATTTCTATACATCTATTCCGTCGCGGCAGTATTGTAAGAGTTAGAGCAAGACCTATGTATGTCATGAGGTGCAATGGGAGCATTAGATTCGTGGAATTTGGAAATAATTTGATCACATAATGTTATTGTGGTCCTGTGAATAAAGTGGTACAAGGTGTGAATTCAACTAAGGTATGCAGTCATGTTTTGGTGCTGCGTGTAGTTATTGATACGGTGAGTGTATGCTGGAACATGCCTGGCAGAAAATTCCGGATGTTGGAATTGGGTTCTAACGCTTATTTGCTTAAGTGAAAAAAAGATATCTTCAGATTGATCGAACTAGGGTGCCCAGCTGAGTTGTGGTAGCACGGGTAGGTGTTCGAAGTGTTAAACAGTGATTTCGGGCAACTCCAGCACAGTTCTTAGCACGTTCGAGGATGAACGTATGTTTAAGTGGGAGAGAATGTAACGACCTGATCGGTCGTTTTGAGCTCTAGTGTGTCGTTCAGCAGTTTGAGGCCATGAACAGCTTCACTTTAGGTATTATGACTTGCGCGCACGGTAGGAATTGAATTCCTAGAAGTTCGGAGTTGATTTGGAAAGAGAATTCTCATTTCGGAAGCTTTAAGTTGAAAGAATTGACTAAGGTTAGATTTTTTACTAAAAGACCTCGGAATCGGGATTCGAAGGTTCCAGTAGGTTCGTATGATGATTTCGGACTTGGGCGTATGTCCGGATTGGGTTTTGGAAGACCTGGGAATGTTTCGGCGCCTATTGTGGAAGTTAGCATTTTGGAAGAATCTCACAAGTTTAGGTTGAAGTGCATTTCAATGTTATCAATGTCCGTTTGGGATTCTGAGTCTAGGAATAGCTCAGTATGGTGATTCTGGTATTAGGAGCACGATCGGAAGTGAATTCGAAGGTCCGTAGGTCCTTTTGGAGTCATTTGGCTAAAGATAGAAATTTGAAGGTTTTTGGAAAGTTTGACCGAGAGTGGACTTTTTGATATCGGGGTCGGATTCCGATTTCGAAAGTTTTGGTAGGTCCATAATGTTGAATGCAACTTGTGTGCAAAATTTGAGGTCAATTGGACGTGATTTGATAGATTTCGGCATCGAGTATAGAAGTTTGAAGTTCTAAGTTCATTAAGCGTGAATCGGGTTGTGATTCGTGATTCGATGTTGTTTGAGGTGATTTCAAGGCGTGACTAAGTTTGAATGAGGTATTAGGACTGGTTGGTAGGTTTGGTTGAGGTCCCGGGGGCCTCGGGCGTATTTCGAATGTTCAACGGGTCGATTCTTTCCTTGTGAGGATTGCTGGTTTTCTGGTGTGAGTGCAATAGGTTTTTACTATATACGATCGCATGAGTGGGTCTGCCATCGCATAGTGCAAGATTTTGAGGCAGGTGGTATTGGCTTATGCGATTGCAGGGGTGTATGTGCGATCACGTAGAGGAAGAAATTGGAGGCTGCTGGTTTTGGCTTATGCGATCGCAGGGGTGTGTTTGCGATCGCATTGTGCAGGAATTTGGAGGCCCTGGGATTGGCTTATGCGATCGCGGAGCATTGTTTGCGATCGCATAGAAGGGTCGTCTGGGCAGAGAAGTGTTTTAAAACGGGTTTTGGCTCATTTTTATCTCAAATCTTTCATGGGAGCTGAATTTGGAGCAACTTTGGAGTGCTATTTTCATCACCAAGCATGTGTTTTGGAGCATTTAGCATTGATTCGATATATTCGGAAGGGCGTGTAATGTCGGTTATGGATCTTCGGAGCGAGGTGAGTCTCCTTTCTAACCTTGTAAGAGGGAATTGTCCCCATAGGTGAAATAATTAGTTTTGTGCTTCTATTTGTGGGGGCTACGTACGCACGAGGTGACGAGAGTCCGTGCGTAGCTACTATTATAAGTAAGTCCAGGTAGTCTAGGACCCAAAAGCATGCTATACTTGGAATATCTGTAATCTTGTTGGCAGTTGAATTGCTTAAATCCTATCGAATCGGTAAATGAATTTCTAAAAGGATTAAACTTCATTTTCTTAAATAGCTAAAAGAGAATTGGCTTTTCTTTGGATAAACGTTCCCCAATAAATTCATAATTGGCTGTTTGAGCATGTATTTCTATGTGTACCTGCGTCGCATGTATGATTCGCGAGCAGAGTGATTGTTTATTTAAATTTGACCGTGTCACATGTATGATTTGCGAGCGGAGTAATAGATGCATCTATGGTTTACGCCGTTCGACCCTCGACAGTGCACATTTTACATTTATATTGGATCGGGTCGTACGACCTTGACATGATATGCGCATGCTTGTATTGCTTTCCTGAGAATTTTAAATGTTGATAATTGCCTTCCTGGCCAGAGATAAATTGATAAAGATAATGAAAAGTAAATCTTTGAAAATCCTTTATTATTTGAGAAGTTGTTTACCTGCTTTCCGGCTTTTTGAGTTAAATTTTGCTTTATGAAATCCATGAATTCCTCACACTTTTACTATATTATCATTGGACCATTAGTAAGTGTCGAAGTCGACCTCTCGTCTCTACTTCTTCGAGATTAGACGGGATACTCATTGGGTACACGTTGTTTTCGTACTCATACTACACTTGCTGTGCATTTTTGTTGCACAGGTTCATATGTAGCTAGTGGCTTAGTGGCATAGCGACATGGTTGATACAAAGACTTAGGTGAGCTGCATTTATCGAGACGACCCGCAGCCAGCAGAGTCCCTTTCAGAGTATTTTTCTATGTTTTTTTCATTTCTGTCCACTTTGTAGTCCGGACAGTTATTGTATTTTATTTCATTCCCGAGTAAATGCTCATGCACTTGTGACACCGGGTTCTGGGATGATTATGGGATATCTTGTATTAACTTCTTAACATTCATATTTAATTTGAAACGATTATCTTTTACTGGTAGAATTGAAGGAAAATCATAGTTTTCAAAATTGTTAAATCGAGAATTTAATTAAGTATTTTGGTTGGCTTGCCTGACAGCGATGTCCGGCACCATCACGACCTCTAGTGGAATTTGGATCGTGACTAGTAGATAGCGTACCTTTGTTTTCGCGGATCAAGACTGTACTTACCGCGACTTCGGAGACCGCTAGGTACACCAGTAGGCATTCACCCAGGTCTGCCTTGACGAGTAATGGTGGCGAGGATAGATACGCTTTCAGCTTCGTCAAGGCGTTGACGAATTCTGAATTCCACTGTAGTCTGTAGTCTTTCCTTAGCACATTGAAGAATTTATGATATATGTCCGACGATCGTGAAATAAACCTCGACATGGTGGCTATTCGTCCTATTAATTTCTGCACCTGCTTCTTGCTGGTTAATGTCTCAGGTATTCATTCGATGGCCCTGATCTGATCTGGGTTGACTTCGATACCCCTTTGTGACACCAGAAAACCAAGGAATTTTTTTGAAGTTACGCCGAAGGCACACTTTTCGGGATTTAGTTTCATTCCGTATTGCCTCAATATCTTGAAGGCTTCCTTCAGATGGCCAATATGATCCTCTTTCTTTTTCGACTTTACTAGCATGTCATTGATGTAAACCTCCATGGTCTTACCGAGTTATTCTTTGAACATCTTGGTGACTAAATCTTTGATACGTCGCCCTTGCGTTCTTGAGTCCGAACGACATTACCTTGTAGCAGTACATTCTTCGGTGAGTGATGAAAGTGGTCTTTTCTTGGTCTTCTTCAGCCATTAGAATTTGGTTGTAACCAGAGTAGGCGTCTAAGAAGCTCAGTAGTTCGTGTCTCGTCATTGCGTTGATGAGTTGGTCGATATGTGGTAACAGAAAGGAATCTTTCGGGCATGCTTCGTTCAGGTCGGTGAAGTCGACACACATCCGTCATTTCCCGTTCTTCTTTTTGACCATGACCACATTGGCGACCCATTGGGGATATTTCGATTCTCGGATGGAACCATTAGCAAGTAATTTATCAACTTCTTCGCTGACCACCTCATTGATGGTGGCATTGAACTTTCTCCTCATTTGCCGTACTGGTGGGTAAAGAGGATCGACATTCAGCCTATATGTGGCGATGTCCCTTAGGATTCCTGGCATATCTAAATGCAAAAAGGCAAACAAATCGGCATTGTTAGTTAAGAACTCATGATACTTACCTGGTTCTGAGAGGTTGTGTCCGATATAGGCCTTTTTTGCGCTATCAGTATTGTCTAGTTGGACGGTGTCGAGATCTTCTACAATTGCCTTGCAAGCTTGTACGACATCCGGGTCTTTAATGGCCTCTATTTATACGTCGGGTTTGATTCCCGATATGACTGGTTGCTATGCTTCTGCACTTGACCCTTTTAGTTTTTTGGTGTGTGTGCAATCTTGGGTGATCTGGTATCATTCTTGGGCGGTGCGTTGCTTGCCTCGGATGCTGAATATTTCCCATGGAGTAGGAAATTTGATTATTTGATAGAAACTTGACGGGATGGCCCGTATGGCGTGTATCCATGGACGCCCCATGATGGCATTGTAGGCTGTCTCCTGGTTCATGACGTGGAACGTCATCTCCAGGGTGACTCCTCCTGCCAGAACGGGTAGCACTATCTCTCCAGAGGTTCGCTCCACTGCATTATTAAAACCTGTTAGGGTTATGCAACGCGGTACTATTTTATCCTCGAGCCTTATCTGCATGAGGACTCGTGGGTGAATAATACAGGCGCGACTTCCGTCATCCACCATTATTCTCTTTATGTTGGTATCCGCGATGCATAAAGTTATAACCAAAGCATCATAGTGAAGGAAAGACAAACCGTTGGTATCCGACTTATCGAAGATGATACTATCTTCGAGGTCGTCATACCATTCGTGGGCGACTATCCGTTTGAGTTTGTGCGTGGTGGTGAACTTCACATGGTTGATTATCATATCGTCGCCGCCGCCTATGATCATTTGTATGGTATGAGCTGGCGATGGTGGTTTTGGAGGCCCCTGAGGTTGATCGCGCCCACGAGCGAAGTTAACTCGTCCTCGGTCGCTTAGCAGTTCTTTCAGGTGTCCCTTATTTAGCAACCTTACCACTTCTTGTCGTAGACCTATGCAGTCCTCGGTCTTGTGCCCCCTTTCCTGGTGAAGTTCACAAAGAACGTTCGATCTCCGGGTGCTCGGATCCAACTTCATCTTTTACGGCCACTGCACCTTTGTGCCGAGCTTTTCTAGTGCGTACACTATTTTTGAAAGAGAAACACAAAAGTTAGAGCAGATAATAATGGAGGCATACCTCTTTCGTTTCGGGATGGTGCGGTATGTCGAGGCGCGGCATCTGCATGTCGCAGAGGATGTGGGCTGGATGTTCGGATATAGGGCTGGTGCTTTTCTCGATTGAAATGGGGTAGTTGGTCCCTTCAGCCGTCATTGCGGCGATCTCTCCTTGCTTCGGTTTGGACCGATGTTAGTCGCTGGATCGGGCCGATCAGGTCATCCTCGTCTGTCCTCACTTCGACGTAATAGGCATTATGGATCTCTTCCCACGTGGTGGTGGTGGTGGTGGGGGGTATTCCATGAGTCTACTTAGCAGTTTTTTGGTTGCTTTTGACCCGTTTCTGTTTAACCCATTTTGGAAAGCTACTACCGCAATCCCCTATGACACGTTAGGTAGGCTCATCCTTACCCTGTTTAATCGGGCTAGGAAATCCCGAAATCCCTCGCCGTTGTCTGCCTGACGGCGAAGATATCATTTACCCTAGCTTCTGCCTTTTTCGCTCCCGCGTGAGCGCTGACGAACTTATCTGCCATTTTTTCGAACTTTGATATCGATCATACTGGTAGTTGGGAATACCATGTCAACGCTCCCCCTGTCAGAGTTTCGCTGAACTTTTTCAGCAGCACGGACGACACCTGTTCTTTCGATAGATCGTTACCTTTTACTGCGGTGACGTAATGGATTAAGTGATCCTACAGGTCCGTGGTGCCATCGTATATTTTCAAATATGGCGGCATTTTAAAGGTTTTCGGAATAGAGTGGGGTGCTGCCCTTTCGCTGTAGGGCTGTTCANCGGCGGGGGAGGGGGGGGAGGGGGGCAAGATCTCTCCCTCAGGTGTAGCACTTGGTGTTGCATTTTCGTTGTCTTCCCCATCGGCTTCATTGAGGGAATTCAGGAGGTTGTTCGTGACACCTACTATCACCTTTAGCCTTGTTTCTCCCATTCCCGCCATTGTTGGCCTTTGTGAAGCTAAGAAGAGGTTATTATTTTTTTCAAGAATCTAGATGAAACTAAGATCTTAGCTATAGAAATCTCCACAGACGGCGCCAAATTATTTGACTCAAAAGATATCGGAACCTTTTTGAATAAATCAATCAAAGAAAATGAAGGGGTAAATCTTAGCTAAGCATAATAATCTCTAGAATAGAAGATAGACCAGGAGAATGTAGAGGATAAGAATTTTTTATCTCCTTCGAGAGAAAAAATTAACAATAATCCAGTCAGTTGTTTATGTAAGCGAGATTACACCAAGTATTATGAATTAGGAAAAATGTCCAGAGTCCTTTACATGGTTGTTTTATGCTCTATATATATAAGGGACCAAACCCTTCTAAGTGCTAAAAGACAAGTTATAGGGAATATTCGAAAGAATATCCCCATGGTCCCCTAATGGCTCTACCCTACTGCAAAGGTCGTACAGCCTCTTGTTCGCCTTAAAGTCGTCCTCTGCAGGATATCGAACTTCGAGAATCTCGTCGTTCGTCGTACTCATCAACAGTCGTGGTTGTTCAAATTTGGACTCATACACTTATGAGCAGTGAACTTGTTATCCTCAATAATATATCTAAACGTCCCAAAGCTAAGTCATAGTGGTATTTGATCTGTTACATCCCAATCTCCTCCGTAGAATCCATCATGTCCTAACTCTATCTATTTCATGTTTTCCTCAACAAAAAAAATGACAATATCATTCCAGTTCAAAATCTTATAATTTACGAAAATAAAATAAATGAACTAGTTTTTCTTTGTAGTCTGTTGAAGTTGAAGGACTAAGTTCTCCCCTTCTTGAGTGGTAGTTATTGCAATTTTGGATATCACCCTTGTTCTTATATACAGGAACCATCGTGCTCCACCTCCACTTTTGGGGCATCTTCTTCGTTCTAAAAATGACATTAAATAACCTAGTGAGCCACTCCAAGCCTGCATTGTCCGCACTCTTCCAAAACTCCACCGGGATTTCATCCGGCCCGGTCGCTTTGCCCCAGCTCATCTTACGCATAACCTCCTCAACTTCATCAACTCTAATCCGCCTACAATACCCAAAGTCACAACGACTCCTGGAGAGTTCCAAATCACCCAATACAATGCTCTTGTCCCCCTCCTCATTCAAGAGATCTACTATGGCAATTCTGAGCTTGTTTATCTAGCCAATCCAAGCTTTTGTGCCTGCTTGTAAAAAATTTGCCTGCTCCCCTTATCATCTTGTATTATAAGTGCATTAGATCATTTAGTAAATATGTAACAGAGATTTTGGCAATATTAGAGGTTCAAAGCATATATGTTCATCTTATGTTCTAGAGGACAAGTATCAACTGTTTTATATGAAACCTAAGTACAAGGTACCTGTGAATCAATATAACTGAAGGGAAAGAAAAAACAAACACAGCACATAGGAATCTATGAACCAAGTTTTTTGTCATAAAAGAGCCCAATATAGGACTACAGCGAATTTAGCATATGCAAACAACTGATCTAGATTGTTTACAAGATTAATCTCTTCATCAACCCTTTATTCCACATAGTTAGAACCAGATTAATTATCTATTAAGCTACACTCTTCAGTGAGAGAAATACATAGCAGTCATCTTTTCGATTATCATAAAAAGCTTCAGATATTGAATATACCGAGATCAAAGAAATTTAAGGTATATAAAATAGTCTGAGTCAAGAACCAGACAAGTGACATGTTTAAAGAACATTGAGAAAGTAACCAAATTACTTGAAAAGGGAAAAACAAAGAAGAAATATCTAGAAACCACGGCCACCTAAGATTCTGGTGAAAAATGAGTCTATCTTGTGATATGCGCGATGAAAGCATCCAACTCCTTACGAGAAGCACCCCCTTTCTCTGTGGACCGCCTTACAGCCTCTCCTAGTTCTTCTGCTCTTTTCCTAATCACATCACCTTCTTCTGATGCCATTAACTTTCTCACAACATTCTGAATAGTGGATGCAGTCACCAGCTCCCCGCGTTTCCCCCACTCCCTAACAAGCATCCCTGTTTTCAATATTTCTGTCACCAAAAAACCATTTTTTGGTTGGTCAGAGTGCATAGGCCAAGCAGCTATTGGCACTCCCATAGTAATACTCTCTATGCAAGAATTCCATCCGCAATGACTCATGAATCCACCTGTCGACGAATGAGCCAAGATTTCTGGTTGTGGTGCCCAATATCTAACCACTAAACCTACCTCTTTTACTCTTTCCTCGAACCCTTCTGGCAACTCAACTTTTCTAGCTTCTCCGGTAAAGATATCTCCTCTATCGGCATCTCTCAACACCCATATGAACTTCTGTTTGCTTTGTTCTAATCCCATTGCGAGCTCCTTGATTTCTCTATAGGAAAATGAAGTTGTTGTTCCAAATGATACATAAAGGACTGATCTTGGAGGTTGTTTCTTAAGCCAGTCCAAACATATATTGTTCCTATTTGAGATATGATCTAGTTTAGTAGGGAGAATTGGTCCAATTGCCCATTGTTTCTTCTTCTGTTCACTTGTTACTAGTGTCAACAAATCAAGAAACTTGCCTTCGATTACTTTACTCGTATTATGGATATCACCTGATCTGATTTCCATATACGGTTTCTGTGAAGCTCCAAATTCCCTGACTTCATCGGTCATTATTCCTTCAAGGGAAGGTAGCTTTTTAAGCAATTCGTCTTCAAGTTGGATTGACATCCCCCTAGTTATGCATATCAAACAGTACAAAGTGAATACTGAAATGCAATTAAATACATAAGATTCCACATTGGGAAAACATGATACATCCTGAACATTGTAGGACATTAAAGAATCATGAACAACAACAACTCATCTTGATATTGAAGAAATATTGCGAAAGAAGGAAGCAATAGGCTCGCGCAAAAGCATACAAGCATCCCATGATGGCTGAAGATGCGCGGGAAATTTGCTTGAGGAATTAAAGTCAGGTTCAGGGGAGGCAAATTCAGGAGTTGGTAAGTCATGGAAATGGATTTGGGCTATGTCCGAAGGATTTAAGGCGTTGGCTCGAATCCTGGCTTGTCGGTTATGTGTAGCTGAGCCAACATAGTAGACCGGAAGACCGTAGGAGGAGATTAAACAAGAAAGTTGGAGAAGTTGGTTGAGATGGCCTTGAGCTGGAAATGGAACCATGATTATAGCTACTTCATCTTTTTTCAAGCTGCTAATAAGTTCGTGGTTTGATAAATTCTCACAGCTGCCCATAGAATTAAGAAGAAAAAACAGGTTTTGGTAGTCAACCTGCTGTATTAATGTAGTCTATGAGAATTGAATAAAAGTGGACAGAACTAAGACTTGGAAATTATGTTCTTGAAGTGTTCTATATATATAAGAAGAAGAAAAACTGTCTCAGTTCCTTTTCCGTTGAAGTCGGCAATGATAAATCTGTACAAATAATATGTCGTATATCGTTACGTCATACAATTTGTTCGAACTTGTGAGACATAATATAATATCCATTCATATATATGCGTGCTTTGCACTCCACGTTCAACCTAATAGGTCCTTGTTTCTGCATGGGTCACAATCCGGCCAAGAATATTTAAGATAAGATAAAGGTAAAGGAAGGACTCTCGAGTCATAATTGGTCGAGGTGGTCCAGGGAGCAACAAGACTCAGACCCGAAGAATCGACGACAAGCCATGGTCGAGATGTCAGTATTGGTCCGCGTCGAGCACCGTTGACGAAGCTGTAACTGTTAGTTTTCGAAAGTAGAATATTAAGGAGAATATTCTAGTAAATATTTTCGGCACTTGTACTATTAGGGTTTACTAGAAATCTGTCTCATATAAAAGAAAAAAAAGGATAATGATATGAGACATATAATATTCATTTGTAAGAAAAGATTTTGACAAAAGATTCTCTCTATTTTACTAAGATAGAAACATCACCTTTCCAATTAGATTCTTGTCAATATTATTCCATACACGACCATCGGATTCTTGTCAACGGTTTACTTTACCTTTTATTGGGCGAATCACCCCTCCTATTTACTTTAATGTCATTTATTGTCATTCATTGCTATTAAATGTCATGTTATTGCTCATGCTTTGAAGAATAGTTATTGCATACTGTTTCCGTCACTCTGTCCGGCCCATTCGACACTAGTCATTTCATCGGAAGTTACATCTAGAAAAAATATTATTTACTAGGTTTAATCCATAATTATATAAATTTAATTATTGAACCAACGATACTATTTTTTGGTCAAACAGTTTCTTCGTTATGTGTTATGTATAACTGTTTTACCTTTTTTTTGCAAATAGTTACAATATTGGAGGTTCAGTTTCTATATTTTACACATAAAGAAGAATCAACCTACAGTCACTCATACAACTTAAAGTAAAAATTGTCGGTGAAGTATAATATGTGTTTAACTGTATATAATTATTGATCATTCATGCATACCCGACTAAAAAAAGTAAAAAGTAAATTCAGTCGGTTATTTATGTAAAAATGGATGGTCTTACTTTATTAAGTCTTGTGTAAGTAACACTTTGTAGTGTTACAAATTTGTGGCGCTTGAGAGCCTTGCTCATCTTTGGAAGAAACTATGTTGCCTTGTTTGTTTATTCGCATAAAAAATACAATAAAATAAAATATAATGTTGATAAAAAATAAATAATAATAAAAAAACACTGTCTCAAGTATATGAAAATTTAGCTACTAGCAATTGACATGTACGTTTGTTACGTTAAAACCTAAATATAATTTCTTCAACCAATATATCATATTGACTTAAATGCGTTTTGTGTAGGTGAAAACTAAAAAGGATAGGCTGGCAAATCCAGACCTTTTGAAAATGTGTGATTTATACCGTAAGCAATTGATAGTGCATAAATTAACTTGTAAAACATGTCTTATAGCTCGTTTGGCCAAGTTGCAAAAATCAGTTTATTTTAAGAAGTGTTTTTTTTAAATGTGCTTTTCTCAAAAGTACTTTTGGTGAGAAACAGTATGTGTTCGGCTAATTAGTTTGAAAGGCACTTCTAAGCAGCAATTAGTATTTGGCCAAGCTTTAAAAAACTGCTTCTAAGTGTATTTTTCTCAAAAGTGCTTTTGGAGAGGAAGCTATTTTTTCTGCTTCTCCAAAATTGCTTCTACTTCTCCTCAAAAGCACTTTTTTCCTTCCAGAAGCTTGGCCAAACACCTCAATTTTTGGCCAAAAGTGCTTTTGACAAAAAAAAAAGGCACTTTTGGCCAAACAGGCTATTAATATGTCCTTTTCACCCGTCTTTTCCTCCCACTCACTCCCTCTTAGTTAGTGGTGGACTCTACTTTATCATTAACCTTGATTTCGTTAGGTTCAACAGCAAGCTACCGTGATAGACCCTCACCCTAAAAAATTTGAGTTAATATCATATGAATCAATCAGGGGCGGATCCACCCTTTAGGGTGGGGTGATATGACACCCGCTAGGTTGGTAACATTATCATATACTTATGTAAAAAAAATCTTAAATTAAGTTAAATATTTGATTCTACCATTCCCAGTTGCAAACTAGATAAAGGTGCCATGGTCAGTAGAACTTTGTAAAAGTTTTTCTTGTGTGTAAAATTCAAGTTCGAATTTATCTTGAACCTTATCTGGCTTCCCCTTTTTTGTGGTTTTTATTTTTTTTTTGGTCCAATTATTTTCCTTTTCGGCTACCTCCAATTTTCTATTTGTCATTTGTTAATTTTTTTTATATTTTTCTTTCCTCTATTATATTATTTTATCTATAGGTGTTAATCGGGTCGGGCTGACCCGTTTTCAACCCGGGTTAGCCCGGTTCATCCCGTTACTGTTGCTTATTGTGCGGGCTGGGACGGGTTGGTCGGGGGGGGCAGGTTTTGGATGAACAGATTTTGGATAATGGTGCATCGTACCCGTTAAGCCCCTGACCCGTTAACGGGTTGTTAACAGGCTGCAGCCCGTTATCAGCCCGGTTACCGTTGAGAACTTTTTTTTTTTAATTATTTGGACCGTTGCCATCGGTCAAATTGAGAAATGACCGTTGGGGACGGCCAAATTTTGCAGAAATGGCCATTTGGGCCTCCCCCATTAAAAATATAACCCTCCCACCTCTAATAATTGAAAAATTACGTTTTAAACCTTTAAATAACCTATAAATATCCCCCCTTCTTCTTTATTTTTTCTCACAATTCACTCTCTTACTACTCTAGTTCTCTCTCAGTTCTCTCTTGATATTATTGTTCTTAAATTCTCAAATGTCAAATTCTCAATTATTTATTATTTCAAGTTTCATCAATTATTTAGTTTAACCATTACAAAATTACTATTATCAAATATTAAATATTCAAGTGAAGTGTGGTATCAAGTACTATCAAGTATCAACTATTAAGTTTCGGTCTATCAATTGAAGTTTGATTTTTGATATCAAAATTAGTGTGGCATCCGGAATTCCGGTACACTCGTTCCATCTCTTTCTCTTATTTGGTGTACACTTATTTTATTATTTAGAATTATTAATTTAATTTACATAATGGATTTACTTAGAGCAGCCAAAAAAAGTGTTCACTAGTAGAGGTGGTAGTAAGAAACTTCTAAAAGATCAAGAGGTGGTGTTGGTTCTTCAGGTAGCTTTACATATATTTCTGAAAGTTCACCTGAAAATTTAAATGTAGATTATGAGCAAATGCAAGAAAATTTTGGTATAGATGATGATTTAGATGATATTCAATCACCCGATAATCTTGAAACACCACCACCTACACCTGGTAATGCTAGTCAAACTCAAAATATTAGGGGTGGAACAAGTAGGCCTCCTCTCCCTATTAAGAAGAATCGACGATTAAGAAGTAAGTGTTGGATATTTTTTGAAAGGCTAGAAGATCAAAAAAATTATGTAAAATTTGTAATGAACATTATAAACATGAGCCCGGTAAGGGAGGGGGAACGGATCAACTTTGTAGGCATATGAAAGAGAAACACCCTCTTGATTGGGGAGAAGATGAGGAATATGGGCAACAAAAACGTAACCCGAGTACTGGGGGGTTATTTGGTAAATACGATATTAAGAAAGATCGAGAAGAATTAGCTAAAATGATTGTTTAAGGTTGTTTAACTTTTAGTTTTGCTTCTTCACTATATCTTGTTACTTATATTCAAAGAATTCATAATCCTATGTTTAAAGGTATTCCTAGAAGTACTGGCAGAGCTGATATCTTTAGGCTTTTTGGACAATATCAGACATATATACGTTATTTGTTCGCAAGTCTTCCTTGTAGAGTTTCTCTTACTTCTGATATTGGTAATGTTGTAAATGGAAATGATTATTTAACTGTTACATGTCATTGGATAGACAATAATTTTTGTATGCAAAAACGTATTATTGCTTTTAAATATGATGAAGATCAAAGTCATACTGGTGCATTTATAAGTAATATTATCCATGAAGTTGCTATATTTTATAATCTTGCAGAAAAAGTTTTGTGTATGTCATTTGATAATGCTTCTAACACCAATGCTGCTATTACAATATTAAAATTGCATCTACACCCACCACTTCCTGAAATATTTCATGTTAGATGTGCATGTCATATTTATAACTTGATTGTGAAGAGTTGCCTTGAATTATTTAGAGATGAAATTACGTTACTTAGGAGAGCTGTTGGTGTAATTCAAGGAAATAATAGAAGGGCTAGATTAAATGCATTTAAGGAAAAATATGTACACTATGGACTAAAATCAAGACTCATGCCTGAAGAAATAGTTACTAGGTGGAATTATACTTATTTATTCTTAAGATGTTGTTATAAATATAGAATGCATATAACTGAAGTTATTAATTCTCATTGTACCAATCCTAGCCATTTGTTAACGTCTAGAACTTGGGATGTCATTCTTGATGTTGTTCAATTTTTACAAAAATTTTATGTGGCTACACTTGAGTTTTATGGAGCTTATTATCCTACTATTATAAATGGTTTAGTTCATATTGCTAAAATTTCTCTTTTACTATAATTTGAAGAAGAAAGAAGGATATGCTTCTGTTGTTGAATCTATGTTAGATAAGTTTAAAAAATATTTCTACCCAATTCTTCATATTTAGCTAATTGGTGCTATTTTAAAGCCTATTATCAAATGATAAAGTATCGCCAATTAATTAGAGCTTTATATACTTATATGGATATTAGACTAACTGAAACTCCTGATATTGACACTTGTATTTCTGATCTACACACACATTTACAAACCTTATATAATTATCATGCTAACATTATTGATGTTTCTTCGGTTGTAGATGCAAATATTCCTTCAAATAATCCTTCAACATCTGGAACAACTATGGATGATGATGGT